CACTCAAAGTCACTCAAGGTCCATCCAATCTAGATTGTGCCCAAGTTACCAGGGAAGTTACATTGTCTATCAGCCTAGTTTGAGCTTTCAATCTGTCTTGTTTGTGATGCCTAGAGTTGTGCTTTAGTGGGCTTGTTAATCTTGAACATAGTGAAGTTTTACCTCATCCAGTCAATTCCAGCAGCCCTGCTAAGACTTTCCAGCCAAGTTTCCAGCCCTCCAGTAGTCACAGCTACTCTGTTTTACAAGTAACTCAACTCAAACGAAGCTCATTAGTAGTGGATTCCCAAAAATTTCCCTAACGCGTTCTACTATCGGATGGATCCAGCCGTTTACCCTCGTGGAGTCCATGCATGGACCATGCCCCTACTAGGGCATGTTACCACCAACGTCGTTCTTGGTAGCGCCAAAGTGGTAGGGGATGTCGTAGGGGTGTGGGACCTCGGACGTAAAAATGCGAGCTCCACCAATACGGGTAAGCCCTCCATTCCTTTTCTCACCTGTTGCTTCGTCCTTGCCGAGTTCGCTAAGCCAATCTAGCAGTCTTGCTCACCGTTCGCTAGGCACTCTAGACATCATGGAACGCACGTCGCACATTAACGATCTTCCTGACGTCATTCTGCTCGACATTCTGTGCCGCTCAAAGCGGTCCATGGCTTGGAAGCATGACCGCGAGACCTTATGGGCCTCGTTGGACTTAAAGCCGAAGTACTATTACTACGAAAACTCTTTAATCAGTTACAAATCATGGCAAGAGGACAAGAGTCCGTCACGAACGCCTCCTGCTTTTGCGGATGATGCAGCGTTTACTCTCCTCGTCGCGTCCGTGTGCCGTCGATGGCGCCGCCTCGCGCAGCGTAACGTCTCCACCCTTTTCGTCCAGGAAAACGTGGTCGTGTCGCGCGTAGATCTGGCGCGCGCGCTTACGTGCTTCCGCGGTTTGACCCATCTCCATCTGTGCGACAACAGTGTCGAAACCGTTGACGACACGCTCCTCACCTGTCTTGCCGCCTCTTGCCCGCAACTGAAGATCCTTCACGTGGGGAATTGGACTTCCTATGAGCGCAAGGAGTTGCATCCAATCACTGAAGCCGGCTTGGATTTCCTCTTCCAGCTATGCTCTCGCCTGCAGCAGCTGTTCCTCCGCTGCCTCCACAAGGACGTTAAGCTCCCGCCATCGCTGTTCAAGCTGGCGCATCTGAACACTCTTGTTCTAGAAGACACATCAGCCGTGGAGATTCCAAACTTTGTGAACCTGTCATCTCTCACCACGCTCCACGTGGCCTCTCCGCAACTCCATCTGCAGCAACTTTCAAGCCTTAAAAGCCTGCCAAACCTTGTCAACCTCTCCTTTTCGACTAAAGCATGTGCTTTCGGCAATGGTACTCGCCCTACTCCTTTCACAGTGGCACAGCTGCCTCGCCTGGAGTCATTGGAATTCCCAGTCTCCTCTCCTCCATTCGACCTGCTCTTCCCGACGGGCTCTACATGCATGCATCTCAAGCGGCTGTTGATCACAGACAGCAGCAGCCTCATCCGCCTCCCTGATTACATCGCCAACCTGCTTCCACACCTCCAGGACCTGACCATCCGCTGCTGTGAACATTCGCCCAGCTGCCCGGAAGCGTCACCTCCCAGCTGTGAACATTGGAGAAGTTGACAATTTCCCACAGTAAGGCGTTTACAAGTCTGCCTAAGAAGTTCGGGCGGCTGCCTGCTCTCAAGAAGCTGGTGCTGGACAGCCTACCGCTCTCGAGTCTCCCTCACTCCTTTGGCCGGCTCTCTTGCGTGGAGGAATTATATTTGATTCGCTGCTGGGGGATAAGCCAGTTTCCAGAAAGCTTCTGCAGCCTTGCCAGACTGAAAACACTCTGTGTCTTCGAGCTGACGGAACTGGTGCTTCCAAAAGGCATTGGACGGCTGCATGACCTGCACACGCTCATTCTGATCGATAACAATAAGCAACGCCACCTCCCGTCTTCGTTCACGCAGCTGCTCTCTTTGAGACGCCTCGAACTTGCCCTTGTTTCCATTGAAAGGCTCCCTAAGGACATGGGGGTGTTGAGCAACCTGCAGTACTTGCACATCATGAGCGCTTCCATTGAGGAGCTTCCACACTCCGTCTCTCATCATTGACATCTGCCACGACCACGGCCTTTCTGTGTCTCCGAGAAGGCTGGACAGCCTGGTCAGGCTGAAGCATTTGGAGCTAAGTGGCTGTAGGTTGCTGCCCTCCTTTCTCGACCATCTGCCGCTCTCATTGGAAATCATATACTTGGGAGAAGACAGCCCTTCATTTTATCCTGGCGAGACTGCGGAAAGGATAGGGAAGTTGAAGCTGCTCGACACTCTCATGCAGCCAAGAGTGAGGAAAGTGCATCTGAATCTGGGAATGGCTGAGCAAGGGGCGATTGCTAGAGGAAGTGTGTCACGTGTGAATCACTTGGTGCTGCAACTGCCACAAGACTCAGAATCTTTCCCTTTCTCTTTAAGGGTTCTTCCGCAGCTGCAATCTTTGGAAATTTGGAACGGTGAGAAGGTGAAGAAGCTACCGCGAAACTTTGGATGGGATCTGCAGCAGCTGCGGAAGCTTTATGTGGCTGCTGACTTGGAGGAACTGCCAGCGAGTATTGTGGAGCTCCGCCATCTCACTTCGTTGGATATCCGTTCATCCAGCCTGGTTGCCCTTCCAGATCGCATCGGCGCACTTTCCAGGCTGAGAGAGCTTTGTCTTTATTCGTGCACATCCCTGAAGCATCTGCCTCCTTCGCTCACCCAGTTGGCGTGTCTCAACCAGTTGTCTCTGATCCGTGCCCCCATTACAGCCCTTCCTCCTAGGTTTTCGAATTTAACCAGACTAAGGGCACTGGACTTGCAGAACTGTTGGGAGTTGCGAGTTTCGCCGGATGATCTTACTCAGTTGAAGATGCTACGTATATTGGATGTTCAGGGGTGTAGCCGGATTGTCAACAGTAGAGATGGCATGCAACTCCCTGGCATCAGCCAGATGTATGGGTTGACAATTAGAACCTAGTTATTGTAAAAACAAGCAAATACGGCTGTCAAAGTGGCAATAATCAAGTGGCCAAAATTCCCGTACTGTTCTATTTCCAGGCCGAAGGTATCATCATCATGTCGGGACCATCATCTCAAAGCACCTAATCTGGTACAGTATCTTTCGGAATACAAGGGGGCACAAAGGCGCCAGTAGCAATCCTTAGAAAAGAGGCTTTTACTGTAGGAGCACAGTGAGCAGGTGAGAGTTTCATGGGGCACACGTTTCTTGGACGAATGCCTGCTTCAAATTCAAGCCTCACCTGATATTAACATGTTGTTGCTCTGAAGCTGGTGTGGGGACTTGTCATCAGCAACAACCCACATGGCTAGCTGTTCTCTAATCATCCCAATGTTCGCCCCTACGCTATGGAGCACATTCACTCCTTCGTAGCCCAGCAGCCTAGAGTTGATAATATATTAGTGGCATTAGCGATTGATGCCGAAAACATCACATGCAAGCAACTATGTTGTCTGTATCTTGTCTGTCAAGTCAGCTTGCCATATCAATTCAGCATTCCATGTCAATTCAGCATGCCATGTCAATTCAGCATTTCATGTCAAGTCAGAATTCCGTGTCAAGTCAGCATGCCGTGTCAATTCAGCATGCCATGTCAAGTCAGCATGCCGTGTCAATTCAGCATGCCATGTCAAGTCGTGTCAAGTCAGCATGCCATGTCAAGTCATTATGCCGTGTCAAGTCAGCATGCCATGTCAAGTCATTATGCTGTGTCAAGTCAGCATGCCGTGTCAAGTCAGCGTGCTGTGTCAATTCAGCATACCATGTCAATTCAGCATGCCATGTCAAGCCACCATGCGAAGTAAATTCAGCATGCCATGTCAAGTGGGTGCATGCCAAGTTAGCATGCCATGTCAAGTGGGTGCATGCCAAAGTCAGCATGCCATGTCAAGTCAGCATGCCATTTCAAATGAGCATCCCGTGTCATATATGGCTGGCACTTGACTGGTACCGTGCCACATGTCACCCATACCATAACCCCACTCCCCTCACCCCCTCTGCTCATACCCCCCACTCACTCCCCTCATACCCTTCACAATGTGGATTATGCTTATCAAAAGCTAAAAAATTACAGTATGCCCATTGACCAATCGGACTCGCAACTGGTGCCAAAGACAGCATTATATATTTTTAATGACTTGTCCGCCCTTTGTAGGATGCCTGTAAGCCAATACTTTGCAATACGGTGATGGCAGCTCCAACTTCCTCCAAGCCAGCAGCAATCACCGTTCCGTTCACTCCTTCGCTGAATGATCTACTATGACACCTGGCAGGCAAGGAGCTATATCCCACTCAGGCCTCTGCCATGCTTTTCGGAATTCTGCCTCTCCCAAGTGCTGCTGCCTCAGGCCCGTCTTTCTACCCGTGCACCTGTGAAACTGCCTTCACTCCCACTCAGGCCTCTACCATGCACTTTCATTGGCAGGTCAGCTTGTGCAATGCAACTGTATATTCCTGGCTGAGTTGTCAAATGTATGATCGCTCACAAGATGCTTGCGAGATGCCTGCATTGTATATATACCGGTAGGTTATTATCAAGTCAAGTGAGTCTTGTGTTGCATAGCAAGATGTTACAACAATCAGTGCAGATGAATGGTGTGCTGCCACATGGACATGTGGGCCACTCTGAAACTAGACACGGTGCCACATGGGCATGTACACCCAATCGAAGCGGATACATCCAGTAGCTGCAATCTTTCCAGATGAAAGGCTCTCGGCTGAAATGCCAGACGGTCACACACACACATGCCTTCAAATCAGAGTGTTGTAACAGAAATACAACTGGAATATGTCACCACTCTTGGGCAATTTTGTTCAGAAGCAGAACGACTTGTGACATTTGGGAAGCAGCAGCAGCAGCAGCAGCAGCAGACTGATGTTTAGCAGCGATCCCATGAACGCAAATTGCTCGTCAGGTGATGTGAGCTCATTGCTGTTGCCGAGATGAGGACGGTGAATGCTGAGAAGAGGCGGAGGGAAGCACAGTTGTAGAAAATAATGCCTCAAATAGGGCCACGAGGGCGATGGCGATGAGGGCGGCGCTCTTGGCCTTGCGCCTGACAGATATGCCCTGCCTGCAGAGAGGGAGAGAGGTGTGAGGGGGGGCTTTTGAGGGCCTCAAAAGTCGTCTCATGTCTCGCGGCGCTCTTGGCCTTGCACCTGACAGATAGGGCCTGCCTGCAAAGAGGGAGAGAACGGTGGGGGCAGGCAGGGAAGGCAGGGAAGAGTGGGAGAGGGAGAAGCGGGAGAGGGAAAGGTGAGAGAAGGAAGAGCGGGTGAGGGAGGGGTGGGTGAGGGAAAAGTGGGAGAGGGAAAGAGCAGAAGAAGGAGATTCCAGGAGAGGGAAACGAGCGGGAGAAGGACTCCCTTCAACCACTAACGCACACGGCTGCGCGAATGAGAGACGGGGAGTTCGTGAAGAGGAGTCCCAAGGACAAAGGGGTGGAGGAAGAGTGGGAGATGGTTGCAGTGAGGCAGGCACGAAGGGAGGCGAGGCAGGCACGAAGGGAGAGCAGCATGAGAGGCCGATGAGTTGATAAGGGAGGGAGATGGTCGGAGATGGACGATACTGGCTGTACTATGGGATAATGGGACATTGAAGGGGATGGGGATGGGGATGGGGATGGGGATGGGGATGGGGATGGGGATGGGGATGGGGGTGGGGGTGGGGATGGGGATGGGGGTGGGGATGGGGGTGGGGGTGGGGATGGGGATGGGGGTGGGGATGGGGATGGGGATGGGGATGGAAAAAAGGGATGGGGGGGGGGGGGGGGGACGATGATGGAGAGTGACGGTTGCACTACGCACACCTGATGGGTGACTGGAAGGAGAGGCCGGTGGCGGTTGGACAGCCCAGTAGGAGCCAGAGGGAGTTGCCAGTGAGGTGGGTGAGAGAGAGAGAGAAGCTGTGAGTGATCGGAGGGGGGGTGGGAGAAAGTAGCAATGTGTAAGTAGCTTTGATTTGAAACGTTGTGACTGATTGGGGCAGGTGTGACAGCCAGCCAGGAGCGGCAGAGGGAAATGCGAGTGAGGCGGGTGAGTGGGAAGTGGTGCGAGATGGGGGTTGAGGAGGGAGAGGAGGGGGAAGGAGGTGTGGAGGAGATGCTGATGCTCTATACCGTTGGTCTGCTTCATCCCGCTTCATCCCGCTCTGCTTTCACAGCCACATGGCATTCAGCCTCTAAGCATGCGGCACGCATGTACGTTCAGTCCTTCAAGCACCTTGACATTCAAGCATCATGCGGAACAGCACTGCTGTACGTAAATCATTCAGCCATCAGCCCCTTTTGGCTAAACCTGCAGCTAGTCATACCGGAACAACCTCGTGCACAGTTGAGGGAGATCACGAATGAAAGGCTCCTACGGGCGGTTGATCCGTGAGAGACACTTTGAGCCTCCCATGGACCAACCGCCACAGGCTCCCATGGATGAACCTCCAGCTTGTCATGTCACCACCGGCAAAACCTCAAACACATCTGAATCACCCGAGCGTGATCCGAGAGTGACCTGAGAGTGACCTGAGAGTGACCTGAGAGTGACCTGCCACTGACCCGCCAGTGACCTGCCAGTGACCTGCCAGTGACCCGCCAGTGACCTGCCAGTGACCTGCCAGTGACCCGCCAGTGACCTGCCTGTGACCTGCCTGTGATTCACAAGCAGCCCACGCCGCTCACAGCACGCACCTCCTCTACCTCTGCTCATCCTTCTAGAAGAAAACTGCCAGTACCCAGCAGCCTTGCTACAACTGACCCGCTGGTGACCCATAATCAGCCCACTTTCCCTCACCACGCACCTCCTTCTCCCTTTGCTCGACCCTGAGAAAGAGAAATTTCACAAGGCATCCAGCAGCCACACCCAGCCTCCCCCCACCCGTGACCCACCAACAAGTGACTCACACAAATCAAGCAGCCCAGCCCACCGCCCCTCATTCCCTCAGAACGCACCTCCTTCTCCCTCTTGCTCGTCCGCCCTCTAACACCACCATGGGGCACCCACCCACCAGCCCAGCCTCGCCCAGCCTCGCCTGCAGCCTCCTCTCCCCAACCTCTGCCGCGCCAGCAGCCTTGATGGAGCTGCTGTGGGGTGGAGCAGTGCGGTCGAGCCGTAGGGGTGCGAGTATTTGATTTGACCCTGAGCGTGCAGCTGTGGGGCACAAGTGGGTGTGGGAAGCAGGTATGAAAGGTGGGGAGGGGGGGGCGGGGGGGGTGGGGGGAAGAAGAGGAGAGCAGCACAGTGGCTATGAGAGGGACGAGGGAGACAGTGCTGTAGGGGCGGGAGTGGGTGGGGCAGAATTCCATTTTGGGGAAGAAGGTGCGGGGTGGAGCTGGTGGAAGGAGGGGTGGAGGCGGAGGGGAAGAAATGTGGGTAAGGGATGCTGAAGGGACAGTGAGGTGCAGCTTTGACAAGGAGTGCACTCAGCAGACTGCAGGTTCCCCAAGATGAGTGCGCTCAAGTTGCAACAACGCACAGGCACGGAGTGCACAGTGTGCAGGTTCCCCGTCACGCCACTCTACGCACAGTGCGCAGCCTCGGCAGCCCGCAGGCTTCCCCTGAACGGTGCGCTCTTGTTGCAGGGGCGGGAAACATGGGGAAGAAACCGGTGCCGGAGAAGCAAGTGCGGTGCAGAGCTGGTGGGGAGATGGGGGAAGGGTGAAGGGAGGTGGGAAGGAAGGGGAAAGGATCGGACAGTGGCTGGGTGATCGCAGTGCGGCCCCACCACCACCGCAAGTGCAGGATTTCAATGAGGGCAGTGAGATGCAAATAGGGGCTGGGTAGGAAGAGAGAATCAGGAATTGGGAGGGGAGGGGGAGGTAGTTGGAGGGGGGATAGGGGAATGAATGAGTCTCACCTTGGCTGCCCATCACCTCCCTCCACTCACTCTCTCACAGCCATCCCAAACCCACTCGCAACGACTCCTCAGTGAATGAAATATGATACTCAGAGACTCCCACCCGGGCGACATCCAGCTATTCAACTGCCTGCTTCCCACCATCGTCTTGAGAAATATCCGCTGTCCGATTCTATACGCAACTTTCCCATCCCGCACCAACTCTCACCTTGGTTATCTCCAGCTATTCATTCGCCCCCTGGCACCCATCGGTAGCCCCAATCGCATGCTCGGAACCTCCGCCAGCCCCATCAGCAGCCCAACGGTCACCGCCCTCTCCTCTCGAACGGTCACCGCCCTCTCCTCTCGAACGGTCACCGCCCTCTCCTCTTGAACGGTCACCGCCCTCTCCTCCCGCTCTCCCCGCCGCCACCAACGCCGCTTGCGCTGCTTGGCCATTTCCCCGACCGTCTCGCTGCCTGCCAACCTCTCGTAAGTTCGTAACTGATCAGATTTCGCGCAACCTACAGCTTCAATCTTGGTCGCCAAGCCGCCACTAGTAGCAAAAGACCCTCCCTCCGTCTTCACTGCAATATCCGCTGCTTGACGGTGTCCCCGTCCGTCTCGCCGCCTGCCGCAGAGCCTGCTGCCTCCGCCGTTCCTTTTCCCTCTCCTTCTCTTACGCCTCATCCCTCTCCTGGTGTGCTTGCGCGCACAGCGGCGCTTATCTCGCCAGCGTCGCGCAATTGATCGGATTTCGTGCAACCTGCGACTTCACCCTCGGACGCCGAGCCGCCATTACTAGCAGGAAGACGCATCATCCTCACTCACCCACTCGAATGATCCGCCTCTTGAATCCGTGGTTCTGTCTGTCGAGTCGCTCTCCAGCTGAAGACAGGCTTTAATTCCTGGGAATCAAATCTCGCTCAAAATGGATGACGGTTTCAGTGCAGCCCTTGAGCTCCGCGCTAACCGCTCGCTGCTGTGAACTTCGACGATCACTTGTTTCGCATCCGAAGCGTCTGATCGGCCAATAGGACATTCTTTATTTCTGAGCGTCGTGGGATATACGCGCAGCGTCGGCAACGTCAGCAACTTCAGGAGCGTTACACTAAGGCTGCAGTTTAGGTCCGTGAAATGCAGCGTGGACTCGCCCTTGCTTGTAATCAAGCACTCAGATCGGTCAGAATGGACCTTGTCGTCAAAGCAAGGGGAAATGCAGAAGCTGTTGTGCAGCACACCCAGTTGTTTTGCAACCCCCAAATCCTCCAAGGTTGTGTCGTTCGCTGTTGGATGATGACGAGGGTGTTGTGGAGGTTCTGCGAAATCGTTCGCAGAACCCTCCGAATCAGTTGTCACGAACCACGTTTCGCAACAAAAAACACAGTAATTTGTCGCAACAACCGAAACAATTTCGCACGCCTGGACAACGTTTCGTCAGAGGCAGAAATCACCTTCGCTTTCCAACCTACCGTGGCGTGCGAGAACTTCCGCGAATGATGTGGTGCTGCCCTTCACCCATCTAGATTCCCCCACCCTTCCAAGAACAAGCTCTTCCACGCCTTTACAGCACCAATGCTGTGGCATAGCTGAAAATCGAAATCCAGAAACCTAGAAAGAGAAATTCTGAAATGCGTACATACAGAAGAAAAAGCTTGTTCTTCGCATCCCTCTGATCACTCGCTCCTTCTGTACGTAGCTTCACCCTTCCGTGGCAATCAAAATTGTTGATTTTGTCACCCTTATGTAGATGGAGTCTCAAACCAGTATTAATAGTCTCCCAGACGACCTCCTTTTTAAGATCATCAAACGCTCCTTCAAGCAACCAGCCGCGTCACGGAATTTCTGTTCGAAGGAATTAGATCTGATAGGCGAGACGCCAGTACCAGCCCCTCGTCCAGACTCAGATGTGGCTCAAATTCTCTTCATCTCATCCGTCTGCGGTCATTGGCGCCGTCTGGCGAGGCGTTGCGTTACCACGGTGCTCGTTAAAGGAGGCCTCGTGGTATCCTGCGAAGATCTCTCAGTCGCAGTCGCGTGTTACCCGAATCTCACCCACCTGCATATTAGCGACAACGGCGTCGAGGCGCTCAACGACGCTTTCCTACACCACTTGGCGTCATCATGCCCGAAGCTGACTCGTTTTCACGTGGGAAGGAGCTTTGGATGGGAAGATGGAAAATATTATCGCAAGGAGGCTTCAATAACCACGGAGGGATTGGATCGGTTCTTTCAAAACCTTCCAGAGTTGGAGCAAGTTACGCTCTTCTGCCTCCAACAAGAGACACAGCTACCGGACTCGTTTTTTCGACTGAGACAATTGCAGACCCTTCTTCTCACCGACGCTTCAGCCGTGGGCAATCGCAGTCTCACAAACCTCACTGCCCTTACCACCCTCTACATCACATTCCCCTGGAATCTTCAGCACCTTTCCAACCTCCTCCATCTCCCTCAACTCACCCACCTCTCCACCCTAGCCCCTCACCAGAACCATCAGCCGGCGGTTACTGCAAGCGTGACGCTGCCGTCTTGCCTAGAATCGTTCACTTTCCTGGATTCGTGTCCTCGGTGGGACACCCTCTTCCCATCCTCGCCCTTCACCGCGCTCAAGGAGCTGTTCATCGCCAAGTGCCGTGAGCTGGAGACCCTTCCCGACGGCATAGAATATCTGCTGCCATGCCTTCGTAAGCTTCATATTCGCAGCTGCCATGCATTCACTCACCTGCCCGAAAGCTTCACCTCTCATATCTTTTTGGAAACATTAATCGTTTGTCATTGCAAGAGATTCACTGCCTTACCCACCAGCTTCGGTCACATGCCTACCCTCAAATCGCTGATTCTGGACGGTTTGCGTTTCACCGAACTCCCTCCTTCCTTCTATCATCTCACATCTCTAGAGTCACTCTTCATAGCAGATTGCCCTAGGCTTTCGCAGCTGCCAGAGCGGTTCTGCCGCCTCACGGGTCTCAAGGGGCTCTGCGTGCTCGACTTGAAGGGCTTTTCCTTGCCAGAGGACGTTGGGGCCCTTGCCAGCCTGGAGTCTCTCGAGCTGGTTCTCTGCTGGCAGCAGCCCCTTCCGCCTTCCTTCACCGACCTGACCTCCGTGACGAGCCTTGAGCTGAATGAATGCGGGGCGATCGAGCTTCTGCCGGAAGCCCTGGGAGAGCTGAGCAGCCTGCAGGAGCTGAACCTCAGTCACCTTGAAATTGGCATGCTTCCTTGCTCACTTACACGGCTTACGAGGCTTCAGATCTTGATTGTCGAATACTGCAATGCACTCTCAGAAGGGAGCCTCGAACATCGCCGACGCACTGACCCGCTCCACTGCCCAGATCCACGCAATACTACTCGCCCAGACAAGCCCGCTACTGACAGGCCTATTCACCCACGGGTACCAGACGGATCCATTCTTCACAGGAGGAAATTCGCAGCTGTTCGCAGCAGCAAAGGGAGTCTATTACGTAAAAACCGGGACTGACCGCATTTGGGTACCTGGGTATACACTGCTACGGGAATTATTGTTACAGGAGGCACACGACGGAGTTACTTCGGGGCATTTCGGAGTAGAAAAAACCCGGCAGCAGCTGCAGCGGTATTATTACTGGCCCGAAATGTTGACCGACGTACAACGACACGTGGCATCGTGTCCCACTTGTCAGCTCATGTAATCATCACGACAGCGGCCGGCGGGACAGTTGCAGCCGATACCACCCCCAGAGCGTGCTTGGCAGCAGGTGACGATAGACTTCGTCACGGGGTTACCAGCCGGGGCGAGTGGGAACGACGCGATCCTGGTCATCGTCGATCGACTGACGAAAATGGCACATTTCGCAGCCTGCAAAAAATCGATCACAGCCGAAGAAACAGCACGCCTCTTCATCTCCACCGTCGTTCGACTGCACGGGATACCCGCCGCGATCATCAGCGACCGCGACACAAAATTCACCAGCAACTTCTGGCGGAACCTGTGGCAGCAGTTCGGCACGCGACTGCAGTTCAGTTCATCATACCACCCCGAAACTGACGGACAGACAGAACGGACAAATCAGACCATGGAACAGCTCATCAGGGCCACGTGTGACGACCCGACCACGTGGGAACAGCAACTGCCACTAATCGAATTCGCGTACAACAACTCGCCATCCGCCACGACCCAACAGTCACCATTTTACCTAAACTACGGACAAGACCCAACAGTACCCATGACCCCGAATCCCGACAACCCAGTACCACGAGCACAACAGTTCGCCGAAATATTACAAGCAGCACGGACCCGGGCAGTAGACGCAATAAAAAAATCAAACATCATCGCTAAACGCAACGCCGACCGCCACCGCAGACCTGTCACTTACCAGCCCGACGACTTAGTTTTACTTGACACTCAGAACCTCCGACTGCTCTGTCAGAATGTTATAATTGTCTAGCCTGCAGTGGGGTACTCTATAGTGAGTACAGCCCAATTAGGGTTTGCTATATGTATCCAACTGCTTGCTAGTGAACATCCTCCTTTCTTCATTCTTACTTTCTACTGCTAGTTCTAACATGCTATCAGAGCAGGTCGATCCCCTTGGGTCGATCCTGTGGGTGGGCCCACCACCTCACTGCTTCCGCTGCTACTGCTACTCTGTGTGTTGCACGCCCCGTGGCGTGCGACGGATTTTTCATCCCGCCGCGCGCTCGGAGCGTGCGGCGGTTTTCTGCCCGCCGTGCGCCCCGAGGCGCGCGGCGGTTTTCTGCCCGCCGTGCGCCCCGAGGCGCGCGGCGGCTTTCTGCCCCGTCACTCCGCGCGTCGCTCCCGGGAGGCGCTGCGACGGGCGACGGGGACCCGCGCGTCGCCCCCCGTCGCCTGTCGCGGCCTGCGCGACCTGCGTAGGGCCCGCGCGTGGCCCGTACAGCCTGCGCGCGGCCCGTACGGGTTGCGCCAGGCCCGCGCGCGGCCCGTACGGGCAGCGCCAGGCCCGCGCGCGGCCCGTACGGACTGCGCCAGGCCAGGGCGCGCCTCGGGCCGCCCGCACGCGGTTCGTACGGGCTGCGCCAGGCCCGTGGGCGCCCTGTTTTCTCTGCCCCTGCGCTGCCCGCTGTCCCCCGTGCTTCTGACGGCGCCCCACCCCTGCTGCTGCCCGTTCTCCTGAATTAGGGTTTGGGGGTGGGGGGTATGGGGGTGCAGTTTCTGTGCGTCGTCCCCTGCTCCTCCTCCTCCTCCGTCTCCCAGTGCTGCAGCTGCCGCTGAGGGGGGTGGGTGTGTGGGAGCCGAAGGAGTGGTACTAGGGGGGTGACGTGCAAGTGGAGTTAGGAGTGAAGCAGTGGGTGTGTGGGGGTGTGTGGGACAGTTGGAGGAGGTTGAGCGGAGGCTGCTGTCTTGTCGTCCGCAGCACCTGTAGTCCGGGGCGCACTGTCCTGGTAGCCCAGAGAGTCTGCTGCGCCTGTCGCCCGAGGGTCCGTTGCTCCTGTAGCTCCTC